GAGTCCGGAGTTCATAAAATATTGACTTAACTTCCAAATGAAATAAGAAAATGTCTCAAGGATAAGCTTTTTACTCTACAAATAATAACTCATATATGACACATTATATAATCTGAATGTTTCTAAAGCCATAAATCTGAAACGGTTTTCTTTGCCCAGTTTTTGATTACTGTGACCTTTATGTGATTCTTCTGGAGAGAGTGGGCTTTTTTCCATCTGCCTCCCAACAGATGGAAACTTTACAGTCAACATGATCATCAATATTATCCAAAACACTGTCTGCCCTCACAGATGGAGTTTATTCAGCACAGCAGACAAATAAAGAACTGCTTCAATTAGGAGCTGCTTCAAAAGATAATGCAATATCCAGAACGTTGCACATCCTCATCTTTTCGCTCTCGCTCTCTCTTGAAATGCAGATCATGACCTGCCACACCAGCTGTTCTTATGCAGTTACACGACCCCGGGCTCACAGTTAGCGCAGAACACAAATTGTTCTTGGCATGATAATATTTATCGTCCTGACATCGCTGCCTTGGCGGAGACTTCGGGACTATTTGTGTTCTGGAAGAAAGCAACAAAGCAACAAAGCAAGATAGAAAGACTGTTTAGGCTTTTTCGTCCTACCTTTTTGCTGAGAAGTCCCCAGTGATGTCTGACAGTTTCATCGTGACGTCGCCTTCTCCCTGCATTCATCAAAATGTAGATAGTTATGATAATGCATTGAAATAAATACCAAAAACAGGTAATACATGGATGATGGGCTGCATTTAAAAAACTGTCATACCAGTGATTTTGTATGATGCATCTACTTCTTAGTTCTTATAATATTGGTCTAAAACTATTGGACCTAAATAATAAGGCAATTAAAAAATGTGTGAATATTTTATTAATGGATTAATTGATGTAGTATTTTTTTGCAGACAATTTAAAGCCACTGCACCTGAGTCAAGTCAAAACAGACAGGAAGCCAAAGTCTTATTAGATACAGTATTTCACATATCTGTTGATATTATTCAATGTCATTAGTCAATAATAAATATCAGTCAAAGCACAGTCTCAAAGATTAAATATAATAACTTTTGTTAAACCTGCATTTTACGCAGATTTCTTATTAGGTTGCAATAGGCAAGGCAAGTGTATTTATATTAGCACTTTTCAACACAAGGCAATTCAAAGTGCTTTACAACAATGAAAGACATTAAGAGCACATTAGAAACATTAAAAAGCAAAGATAATAAAACATGAATAACAGGTACATGAATAAAAGTTACAGTGCAGTGTGATCTGCGAATAGTTCAATTAAAAGCAGCGGCAAAAAGAAAAGTCTTCAGCCTGGATTTCAAAGTAGTCCGAGTTGCAGGTTTCTGGGAGTTTGTTCCAGATGTTTGACAAGACCCCTCACCAGATTCTCACATTCCTCTACCTCTAGTCTTCCCGTGAAATTATAGTTATTTCGACACTTTTCTAACCTTTTTATATTCCTTTCATCCTTCTCTTTCAATCATGTTGCATCCCCAGACAACACATGTTCCTGTTTTACTGTTACCTGAACCCATCTTTGATCTTTAAACACACTTTTCTTTTCAATTGAGGATATTTTTAAACCTATAACCAATAGATTGTTTCCCCCTGACCAAGCCTCTTCTATAGTTTATATACACACGTTTTAAAGGAGGTGAAACTAGGATTAAAACTGTCATTGTTCCTTCCTGCTGTTGCTCTGTCTGCATGTGTCTGTGTGTTCAGGTAGTCTTACTGTACTAATACCGCCCTCTGCTGCATCAAAAAGGAAATCCATGCGGAACAACTATCTGCCAAACTACTAGAAAACCTCTTTCCCCCTGAGGTTTGTTTCATAATAAATAGACTGATTCTCATACATTTTCAATAAATCTACAATCCTGGCCCCACACTCTCCAATTTTATATTAGTTGAAGCCCTAACACAGCAATAGTTCACGTTGTTGTTGCCTGATAAAAGCTCTTCTCCATATATATATGTTTTGATTAACATTATTGATGCATTAAAGTGTTATCAAAGCTGGTAAAGGTGCAGCTAGTTTGAATGACTTTGTATACTGCAGGGTAGCTTCTGAATTTACTCCAGGTGGAACTAAAGTCTGATTTAAGAGTTGATTATATTTCACATCATTCATCCACATCTGTAAAGTAACTAAACTGGTATTCAATACATGTAGTGGAGTAAAAGTACACCATTTACCTCTGAATTGTAGTGGAGTAGAAGTACACATTAGCAAAAAAGTGAAATAGTAAAGTACAAGGGCCTCAAAATTGTACTTAAGTACAGTTTTGAGTAAATGTACGTAGTTACTTTACACTACTGCTGGTTAGCTTAAAACAATAGCTTACATTAACTGTGTTTTTTGAAGCAGTTTCAGCTCTTCTTCTTTTTGTTACAGCTTCTTACACGATGGAGTTAGCATTTGACCGTCCAGCTTATTTAAATAAAAAAGTTAACATTATGTTTGCTGTATTCAACAATGAACGTTACAAGACACGGTTATTATGAGAAGAGCAACTTTAAACGTTGCTAACTGTTATTAGCTAACGTTACGTTTAGAACGTCCCCTAGCCAACCGTACCGCGGTGAAGTTAGTTTTAGGTTGGATATTCGACGGACATTCGCGGACCCGCCAGCAGCGTCAGTTTCCCGGACCCGCCAGCAGCGTCAGTTTAACGGGGAGATCTTCTCTGCGAAACGAGGCTTTCACTTAGGGACCATCAACAAATGACTTTTACAATTACACAAGAAAAATGTTATTTTTAATAAATCGACAGCTTCTCGATCGTGTGAATGTGAAGCAAATTCACTCTAGAGCATACATTTATTGAACACACCTCTTTTTATTGCATTTTAATACTTTAAATATTTTATATTAATATTTTGATGGAGAAATTAGCTTATTTCTTCAATACCTTCCAGGTCATGTGACCTAATCACTCAAAATCAATGCTGGCTCAAAGAACTACACTGGCTGCATAGGACACACCTCTTTTTATTCCATTTTAATACTCTAAATATTTTATATTAATATTTTGATGGGAAAATGAGCTTATTTCTTCAATACCTTCCAGGTCATGTGACCTAATCACTCAAAATCAATGCTGGCGCAAAGAACTACACTGGCTGCATAGGACACACCTCTTTTTATTCAATTTTAATACTCTAAATATTTTATATTAATATTTTGATGAAAAAATTAGCTTATTTCTTCAATACCTTCCAGGTCATGTGACCTAATCACTCAAACTCAATGCTGGCTCAAAGAACTACACTGGCTGCATAGGACACACCTCTTTTTATTCCATTTTAATACTTTAAATATTTTATATTAATATTTTGATGGAAAAATTAGCTTATTTCTTCAATACCTTCCAGGTCATGTGACCTAATCACTCAAACTCAATGCTGGCTCAAAGAACTACACTGGCTGCATAGGACACACCTCTTTTTATTCCATTTTAATACTCTAAATATTTTATATTAATATTTTGTTGGGAAAATGAGCTTATTTCTTCAATACCTTCCAGGTCATGTGACCTAATCACTCAAAATCAATGCTGGCTCAAATAACTACACTGGTTGCATAGGACACACCTCTTTTTATTCCATTTTAATACTCTAAATATTTTATATTAATATTTTGATGGGAAAATGAGCTTATTTCTTCAATACCTTCCAGGTCATGTGACCTAATCACTCAAAATCAATGCTGGCGCAAAGAACTACACTGGCTGCATAGGACACACCTCTTTTTATTCAATTTTAATACTCTAAATATTTTATATTAATATTTTGATGAAAAAATTAGCTTATTTCTTCAATACCTTCCAGGTCATGTGACCTAATCACTCAAACTCAATGCTGGCTCAAATAACTACACTGGCTGCATAGGACACACCTCTTTTTATTCCATTTTAATACTTTAAATATTTTATATTAATATTTTGATGGAAAAATTAGCTTATTTCTTCAATACCTTCCAGGTCATGTGACCTAATCACTCAAACTCAATGCTGGCTCAAAGAACTACACTGGCTGCATAGGACACACCTCTTTTTATTCCATTTTAATACTCTAAATATTTTATATTAATATTTTGATGGAAAAATGAGCTTATTTCTTCAATACCTTCCAGGTCATGTGACCTAATCACTCAAACTCAATGCTGGCTCAAAGAACTACACTGGCTGCATAGGACACACCTCTTTTTATTCCATTTTAATACTCTAAATATTTTATATTAATATTTTGATGGGAAAATGAGCTTATTTCTTCAATACCTTCCAGGTCATGTGACCTAATCACTCAAAATCAATGCTGGCTCAAATAACTACACTGGTTGCATAGGACACACCTCTTTTTATTCCATTTTAATACTCTAAATATTTTATATTAATATTTTGATGGGAAAATGAGCTTATTTCTTCAATACCTTCCAGGTCATGTGACCTAATCACTCAAAATCAATGCTGGCGCAAAGAACTACACTGGCTGCATAGGACACACCTCTTTTTATTCAATTTTAATACTCTGAATATTTTATATTAATATTTTGATGAAAAAATTAGCTTATTTCTTCAATACCTTCCAGGTCATGTGACCTAATCACTCAAACTCAATGCTGGCTCAAAGAACTACACTGGCTGCATAGGACACACCTCTTTTTATTCCATTTTAATACTTTAAATATTTTATATTAATATTTTGATGGAAAAATTAGCTTATTTCTTCAATACCTTCCAGGTCATGTGACCTAATCACTCAAACTCAATGCTGGCTCAAAGAACTACACTGGCTGCATAGGACACACCTCTTTTTATTCCATTTTAATACTTTAAATATTTTATATTAATATTTTGATGGAAAAATGAGCTTATTTCTTCAATACCTTCCAGGTCATGTGACCTAATCACTCAAAATCAATGCTGGGTCAAAGAACTACACTGGCTGCATAGGACACACCTCTTTTTATTGTAAATTACCATATTATCTTAGCTTAGCTTATTTCTTCAATATCTAATGACTCAAAATCACTTTCTGAATTGAATACTAGTCTGTACACAATAGAAACAGCTCTTTATATCGGATAATATTACATCCTCTATTTAATATTAATATTTCTATGGAAAATTCAGGGTTTTTTCTATAGCTTTCCTGTCATGTGATCCAGTGATTATCAGAAAGTAATACAAACAAGGCTACACAGGACACATGTTTTACTAATCGTCATCATTGAGCACATTTCAAGTATTACTTGCACAAAGGACATTTCCAATATCCTGTCTCTGCCTTTTTAAAGTCTCTGCTGTCCATTGCCAGACACTGGGCATGGTACCATCGCTCACAGTCATCACACTGAATCTGTTGAAGTGAAAGAAATAATGTATTTATATATTTGTAGCTTAGATTACCATTCAGTTGTCTTAATACTCAAGTGTTAGTGAGGAATCAGCTGACACAATCATCTGGTCCTTAAAACCCACTGCCTGTGTTTTAACATGCTCTTGTTTTGTTTTTGTTTTTTTGTTTTATTGTTCTGACTTTTAAATTGTTTTATTTAAGTATTCCAGTAATGTGTGTTGCATGTTTTAAATGTATTGTATTTACTTGTTTAAAATTAAATGTGTTTTAGGTTGACTTTTAAAATCTGTCCAGGGACTACAGATGAAAAATAGCCTCTTGGCTAACTCTGGCACATTTACAGAGATGTTAATTAATGTGCACTGTCCCTGTTAAATAAATGAATACATTAAAAAATAAATGTAGACATCACAATTCCACATTTTCTTCACAACAGCTCACCCAGTTTGTGATGGGAGATCCAGATCCTGGAGGCCTTAAGGCAGCACACATAGCACAATAAGTGTGCTCATCAAGGACTGAAACAAGATAACAATACATGTATGTCAGCTTCTATATACATACATATACATACATACATACATATATATATATATATATATATATATATATATATATATATATATATATATATATATATATATATATACATACATACAGACACACATATACATACATACACATATAGCAGGTCTCCCTTGAAAAAGAGGTCAATGATCTCAATGGGATACAACCTGAATAAATAAAGGTTTGAAATGAAATGAAATACATATATTCATATTTATTTACCTGATGCCTCAAGGATTTCGAGAGCCAGTTCTATCCTCTCCTGTTTCATGTATTTCTTCGAACACTCGAAATTCACATTCGGGATCAGAGGGAAGGACTCCATGACTGCCTTTGCCATCTAAACAAACAACACTTATGTTATGGAGGTTTTTTCTTCTTTATTGTATAGTAATACAGATACAGACAAAAACATGAGACACATTATAGAAGACATCCACCCTTGACTAGAATGCCTCCCAAAACTTTTCATTATTGATATAGACCGGTCCTATTATTGGAATTTTGAGATATTCGGAAGCGAAGTTTTGTCAATGAAACTTTCTGTGTTCAAGTGAATACTACATTAGTGTTAAATAACTGTTAATTTAAGTTCAGCAATGTTGTGTCATAATCCAATTGTTGTCAGTTGTGAAAAATACAATAAACAACAACATGATATCGGCATTATACTGTATATTGTCCATTGGCCAACCTGCCTGCTAAATATTATGGCAATCAGCATCGGCCTTTAAAAAACCCTTATCGGTCGACCACTACTTTGACCGATTTTTTAATCCGTCCTTGCATTAAACTGTCTTTCACATTAAAAACTCTGCTTGTTAACTGGATGAAAACAGAATATCTTCAGCTCACCTTCACAACAACGACACCACAGCTACATCCATCCTTTTGAAGTGGGTGGCCCATAACGCCTCCCTTCCACTTAACATCCACCCAGTCTGTTATGCTGTGGCGTGTCCTCCTCATCTTGAAGTACTCCCTGAGAAAGGATAATGTTAACACACTTTATATTTCTAATTATGTGGCACCTAAAGATAATGTAACAGACATTTATACTGTTTGTATTCACCATATGACCATTTATTTATATAAGGGTCAGCTATAGATATCACTGTCTGAACACAGACTGTATCAGACTGTTTAAAATGCTTTCAATGCTGTTTGTGAGTATGAATGTAACTAAATGTGACACATTTTTTACGTTTAAATATAGTTTTTACTTGAATTTTCAAATATCTATTGAATTTTTATTTACTGTATTCTTTTGGCAGCATGTTCGGAGTCATCAAGCTCTTTGATGCTTTGAGCTGGATCCACCAGGAATACGGTGCTGGTTTTGGCATGAATGTACTGTGAGAGAACAAAAAAAGTAAAAGCACTTTTCATCAAAAAAGATTTTTGGTTTCACTATGTAAGTCTTGTGCTTTAACAGAAATAATACAATAACAAAAATAATTACAAACCAGCAACTTCCAGTGGTTGTTGTTGACAAGTACAAAGGACAGGACAGCTTCATAGTTGTCAAAGTTTACCTATAATGGCATCAAATAAAGGATTAAAACAAACTTGAAGGCTAAGGTAAAAATAACAACAACATTAGTCTGACAATTATGTTCTTGTGCCATTCATTTGTTGTGCTTAAAACAAGTGTTGGTATGGAAATTCAATAGTAAGTAGATTTATCAGGTGATTTAACTAATGAGTATAGTTTCAGAGAGGATCAAGTAAAATAATCTCAGCTAATTTCCTATTTAAGACCTGTGGATTCTCAGCCAATGCTTCACTCCATGTACCTAATGTGTGAGTGTGAGCCCACAAATCAAATCCACACCTACTTCCCCCTACAGCATCACCATGCACAAACACAACACACCACACACATAGACATACACAGACCACACACATTACCTTTGGTAAACTGTGAGATGTTAGCTGAGTTCTGTCCCCGAACAAAATGACACCTGCTGTGTAGTGATTTAGCAAGTACATTTTGTTCACAACGCCGAATTTGTCGGCAGCAACATGAAACACGCCTTCAATTACCTTGCAAAAAAGATCATAACAATTAGCCAATTAATGCATATTCCCAGTTTTACTGAACTTTCATTTCCTGCAACTTTGAGAATCTTGTGACTGACAAAAGTATCTAGACATTTTTTTCAGATATTTTTTTGGCAGAAATCGTTAAATGCAAGATAAAGAAAATGACACAGTGTAGAGTGAAACTTCAGACACTTGAAACATGTAGTCACGTACCTCCCCTGTCAACCACTGGTGGGGTCGAAGTGAGCATAGCTCACAGTGGCGGATAAGTAAGATGCGTCCTTTCATCTGTGAGGGGAGCACTGCCACGACCACCTCGGTGTCCTTTTTTTTCCACAGCCAGGTCAACTGCAAGTCAGGATTGAGGGGAAATAAATGCATTCTGTTTAATATGGACACTTGAGGAATCTTTTAACCCTCCGGTATCACTCTGGACATTTTTGTCCCGAATGACTAATTAGGGTAGTGCATTTGAATGATACCAGAGGGTTAACAATCTTGAATTTTTGGGTGAAGGCCTTGTTTTTGTATATGCACCATCAAAGCTACATACACAGAATATAATTAAACTGTCCATGTTTATGCATTTAACCTTTTTCCCTTTTAGAGTTTTCACTAAATGACATTAAACAGGCTGCTCAGGAACAGAAACTGTAATTGCAGTTTCAAGTCTGATTTAGAAATCTAGTTTCTGTTATAAGTTTGTATGCTGTATTTACATTTACATTTTTCATCTTCATATTCTCCCCCTACAACATGCACTTAATCATCTTGGGTTATAATACTTCATGTCCTTTGTCCTTCACCTCACTCTTTACCAATTTAGTCCATGCTTTACTTTCTGACAATATTTACTTATTCCATTGTTACAATTACAATGCTGGAGAACAATTTACACACTTTGAACATAGTAAGTCTTAGAGAAACTCACATTTCCCTGTGCATCTTTTTCCTGTTGGTCCACTTTTCTTTTCTTCAGCTTTGTGGCAGGTGGGCTCTTGGGGTTGGGTAGTGTTTTTGGTGGATTGAAGTACTTGGACTTGGACTTGGTGTGACCAGCAGAACTTTCCCGCTTGTTCCACTGTTCCTCGTGGTCATCATCTGGCCTGCTAGGATGTCCAAAGTTTTTGTCCAGAATATGCATTGGCAGATTGTGTTGCTCAATGTGCTCTACATATCTTCCTTGTATTGAGGCATACATTTTGGAGATGAACTCTGCTGGTCTCAGGTACTTTTTTTTTAAAAGGATGGAGTGTTTGACCAACCCAAACCAGAGCTCAACATGGCAGTTGGTATCCCTGGTTTTATGACTTCCATCGTTTTTAGAGGTACCTTTTCTATGTCGCGACAGATCCCCAAGCAACAAACCACTCCACAATGGGAAGATCCCCATGTAGTTTTTTAACAGTGCATCAATGACACCAGGACAGAGGTAGTGGTTTTTTACACGAACAGCATCGTCAGAGAGAATGTCACACTCTGCTTGGTCCCGCCTGACTTGAAAAGCTCGTGTAAAAGGGGACTTTCCCATAATGCTATGAGCATTTTTTTCCATTTTGCTTTCCTCCTCTCCCATTACATGTCCACTTTCTTCCAGTTTCACGTCCCGAGTTTGCAAAATGCACTTGTCAAGGTACATTTTGCTCTGTTTCACCAAATGAGTGTACTCCTCTGCATCAAAAAGCACACACATATGATAAAAAACATCAATGGCTTCCTGCATACTTGTGCAGTTCAGGATGTACGCAAAACAGAATGTTGCATATTCCTGTGTGCCTCTGTCTACAGTTTTTTTTCCAAATGCTTGTGACACAGCCTTCATGATATGAGCAGAGCACAGATGCAGCACAGTGAAGTTAGGAATCAGTTCAGTTTGTCCAGACACTATCTCAAATGCTCTGTCAAGGTACACTGACATATTTTCCCTGTTAAAAGACAGAAGCACACTGTTTATCAGAGCCCAACTATAATCTGTCTCAACCTGTGCTATCTTTCTTTTTGTTGTGTAAGACAACTTTCTTTTAAATTCCATGAGCCAATGGGAAATAGATGGAATGGAATGGCTGTTGGTGATCAGTTCTGTGACAGGCAAGGGAGGCTTATCCTTACCCATTCCGGGCAAAACCAAAGCATAGTACAAGACCCGCTTATTTTGATCAGGAATTTTCTGTATCACGCTGCCTGTGGCATCAAGGTAGAGAGTCGTAGGTGTTGGCTTTTTTAAGTGCTCAGTCAAAATTTTTATTCCAGCATCTGTGTATAAATGTACAGCAAACGGATCTATTTGTAGGTGCTGAAGATAGCCTTTTGATGATGCATGACTGCTGCTTTCTTTGATTATTTTTTGAGTCAACATGAGTTCAAGCATCATGTCATCGTGGAGCCTTGCACTTTTCTTCACTTCAGAGGATATTGTCTTTAACACATCTTTGGTGAGGCTTCTGCTTATGTTACCAGCCATTATTTCCTCTACTGGTGTCTGTCTTAACATATTGTAATAATAATTGCTGACACCACTGGTTAAGGCTTTGGAAATGGTTCCTCTTCTTGTGTATTTTGCTGGTCTAAATCGCCTTTGATTTTTATGGTGTATAACTTCACCAATACGCATGACTTTTAAAAATATTTTTGTATCCGTTGATTTTGGCCTGTTCTTTTTTGAGAAACTGTAGACAGCGTTGCATCCATTAAATGTGCATTTTGCAGAGGCACAGAAAAATGGCGAATTCTTTTTACGGCTATCCTTTGTCTTAACATGCTGGTATTTGAAAGCAAGTGTGCAGCATGGATTCTTTTTCAAAAATTCCTGATAAAATGTATCAGTCCAGGGGGGACGGAGTTTTTGTTTGCCATGTTTAGGTTTAATTTTGTTCCATTGTTTTCTTGTCATGGCAATGTTGAACTTTTTTGGCCCTGCTTTGCACTTTCTGTTAATTTGTGTTGTCATTTCGGTGGCTGTCTCTGTACTTTGCTGGTCTGACTCTTCTGTGTCTATCTCAGACTGTGGCTGTGCGTTACTCATTTCCCTGTCATCCTGACTTGTGTCCTCGTCTTCCTCACCTGTAGATGGGCTGGAAGACTGTTTCTCTTCATCATTCTTATCTTCATCTTTCCCCACAGGCTCTGTCCCTGTTTTTCGTTTGTTTTTTTTCCGTTTTTTATCCTTTTCTGGCCCTTTCTTGTCCTTGCCTGTTTGTCCCTTTCTGTTCATTTGTGTTGTCATTTCGGTGGCTGTCTCTGTACTTTGCTGGTCTGACTCTTCTGTGTCTATCTCAGACTGTGGCTGTGCGTTACTCATTTCCCTGTCATCCTGACTTGTGTCCTCGTCTTCCTCACCTGTAGGTGGGCTGGAAGACTGTTTCTCTTCATCATTCTTATCTTCATCTTTCCCCACAGGCTCTGTCCCTGTTTTTCGTTTGTTTTTTTTCCCGTTTTTATCCTTTTCTGGCCCTTTCTTGTCCTTGCCTGTTTGTCCCTTTCTGTTCATTTGTGTTGTCATTTCGGTGGCTGTCTCTGTACTTTGCTGGTCTGACTCTTCTGTGTCTATCTCAGACTGTGGCTGTGCGTTACTCATTTCCCTGTCAGCCTGACTTGTGTCCTCGTCTTCCTCACCTGTAGGTGGGCTGGAAGACTGTTTCTTGATACTGTGCTGTCCATCTCTCCCTCTTTCACTGACATATTTTCCTAAATACAAACATTACAAAAGTAAAAAATCTCATTTAATTACTGTATCTCTTATCTTAAGACTACAATGCAACTTTAAGCAATCTGCCATCCTTGGGTCAATTAGGCTACAGTCAATTATGTTAACATCCTACTGTGATGGCTGTAGTATTTAATTAAATAAGTACATTAACCCTTATGCCTCCCTAAGGAAATGTATTGTCCATATCACTGTTTAATTTTGCGAGCATTCTGATTGTGTTAAGAATATGGCACGACATTTGGTAAAGATGTGAGTTTTTTGGAAAACAATTCTTAATAAGTGTATGTGTAATCAAAATAGTGACTTTCAGATCCCTAGCGACAAAAATACAAATGAATGAACATTTGATAATTATGATCAGCACTGAATTGGGTTAAAAGATGTAAGTAATTGAAAGTGGAAAAAAAATATTAACATAGCCTATAATATCTTTATTACAGTATTTTTAGATGCGGACATTTTTGTCGTTAGTGTTTTCAGAGTAACGTTTTTAAAAGGGATTCACAAGGGTTAAGCTTCAACTTAAAAGCCTCTGGGGCAGAGTCCTGCATGGGTCCAGTTTTCAAATCCGCACCCACCCGAACCCTCGCAGCTCAGTACCGCGAACCGACCCGTTACACGCAATTATCTTCAAGTCAAGTGTCGGAAGCATCCTGAGGCCACAGTGGCTTCAGAACATGTATATAGTCTATCTTAAAAAACATCTTGAATTTATTTGTAGAAAGTTAGTTTGTTATTTAACAGGGATGGAGACTTTTTTTAGTTTCATACATTTTCAAAAATACATTGTTAGAATTTCTAAAAAGTAGTCTTACTCAAACCACTCAAATAATGTAAATAAAGCAAAAGGCTCCTGAAATCCTTTCACATGTACTCACCAGTGTAACGCTGCCTTGCTCTGGTCCTAGTATATTTAAACTGCATGGGATGACGGCTACTAATGAGCACTGCACATGATATATATATTTGGAATTCTTTATTGATTGAAGTGGGGGCTGCATTTTGAATTCTTAAACAAGTTATGCTTATCAGACTGTGGCATGACCTTTGCAACACAAATATAATAAAGTGAGCATGTTTAGCAAGTTTTGATATTGTTGCATGCTGTTTATACTTTTTTTGACATAGAAAAACTATGATTACTAATGTACATATAGCTTTACACTGGTATGATCTGGAACTGTGACAGGCTCTGAAAGACTTCAATCCACTTCCGTAGTTGCACTTATGAAGGGAAACAATGGCCTTAATGAGTCTAACTGGTCACAAAAACCAAACATTTTTAGATTTTTAGATCAGGACCTGGTCTAATGTGGTCGAGATGTAAAAAAAGCACTGAAATCTCTCTTTTTTGTATTTTCACAAATAGAATTAAGGTTTCACAAATCTGAAACTGTGTTATAAAGAATGTTTAGACCCTCTGGGATAATCCAGTCCAAATAAATCGTCTATGCAGCGATTTAAGAGGTTGAAACACGGAGGATTGTTCGCTCAGCGCTGTAAATTAAATTTCCCTTAACTTTCCCCTTAACTGCCGAATCGGAAGCTCTGAATCGGAAGCCAACTTCAGCGTCGTCTATTGCACGCGATGTTGCTGTAAGTTATTAATAATAATGATTTGAATCACAACGTTATGAATGAATCTTCATTTTCATTTCGGATTTCTCCAGAGAAAAACCACAACATATTTTTGTTCCCACCCGCTGCTCGCCTGCATTACATTTTTTTCTTTCTTCTGTCCCCGCACCCGTGGTTAGATACAGGCCTACATGTATGTTTTGCCCGTTACACAACTATTTTGCGGGTTATCCGCCGGGTATCCGAGGCAGGACTCTGCTCTGGGGCTCATCAAAGTTATTTTTTAACAGTACCTGCTTGAAGCACCTCAGTCCGGACTCCGCGTCGGTCTTCACCCCAGATGACCCTCAACCACTTAAGATGCTCTTTCTTATTACTTTTAAACACTGTAAGTGTAACTGAGGACCACTGCTCAGGTGTAACATTAACTTCACTAAAACCATGAGAAATGAAAGACCTGGTGATGAAATCTCTACCTCCTGCTTGTTGCCAGAGGTCTAAAGCTTTCTTTTTCTTGCCTTTTTTGAAGCGCACCATTTTTAGATCAAACAATGTGATCTGGTTTCTAAAATGGCATATATGTCTTCTTCTTCTACTCTCTATTTTTGGCGGATTGCAAACAACTTTAAAGGTGCATACCACCACCTGTACATGAGTGTGAATTATCATATCATTCCATCTCTTAACTCATGGACGTATCTATGATCTAATCAAAAAATATATATAAATAAATAAATAAATCAACAAAAAACATAAAATAAAAAACCTATGATCTTTCCTGACCTAATGTTAAATTATTTTTCCTACCCCAGTTTCACTCAGGAAGGTAAACAATGCCTTTCTGGTAGCTCTTACTCCCTCTCCTTCTGTTCCCAAAATACCAACCACACTCCATTCTCTGCCTCTAAAACGTTATCCTTTAGTTTTTCTCTTTCAGCTTTAAAGATGTCACAATGTAACAAGATATGTTCCACATCTTCTTTAACTCCCACACTTGTCACTGTCACTTTTCCCCATGATACAGTATACAGCGTACCATTCAAAGCCGTGTGATTTAGTCTGAGTCTAGCTATCATGATTTCCTCCCTTCTGTTTATTTCTTTATAAATATTAATTGTAATTGTCTTTTGCACTTTATGATACTCTTTGCCTTTCTGGTCTTCCTCCCACCTTTTCTGCCAGATCTCCATCCCTTTCTTCTTAATTACTGCTTTTCCTTCTCCTTTACCAAGTTGAACTGGTAATGTTATTTCCTTTTGTAGTGCACTTTTTGCTCATTTATCAGCACACTCGTTCCCTTTCACCCCCTCATGTGCAGGCACCCAGCAGAACTGCAGATCTATACCATGCTTTTTAATATGGACAATGAATCTGTGCTTTTTAATATGGACAATGAATCTGTGCATATCACCACCCTATCTGGTCTGACCTCTTCAACCCACTGTAATCCTATTATTACAGCAAGCATTTCTGCTGTATACACTGATAATTGATCAGACGCTCT